TCCAATTTCAGTACTGTGAAAAAGTCTTCAAAATTTAGTCCAAATTTAAAAATTCATTCTGGGATGTTGCCATTAAGTCTGGTTATGTGTATTTAGGCAAGGTATACATATAAAAGAAGAGAAAATTATATTCTTGGAAATCATCAGTTTATGGGACTTTAGCCAATTTGGTCCAATTTCAGTACTGTGAAAAAACCTGTAAAATTCAGTCCAAATTTGAAAAAGCAATCTGGGATGTTGCCATTAAGTCTGGTTATGTGTATTTAGGCAAGGTATACATATAAAAGAAGAGAAAATTATATTCTTGGAAATCATCTGTTTATGGAACTTTAGCCAATTTGGTCCAATTTCACTACTGTGAAAAAGTCTTCAAAATTTAGTCCAAATTTAAAATTTCATTCTGGGATGTTGCCATTAAGTCTGGTTATGTGTATTTAGGCAAGGTATACATATAAAAGAAGAGAAAATTATATTCTTGGAAATCATCAGTTTATGGGACTTTAGCCAATTTCGTCCAATTTCAGTACTGTGAAAAAGTCTTCAAAATTTAGTCCAAATTTAAAAATTCATTCTGGGATGTTGCCATTAAGTCTGGTTATGTGTATTTAGGCAAGGTATAAATATAAAAGAAGAGAAAAATATATTCTTGGAAATCATCTGTTTATGGGACTTTAGCCAATTTGGTCCAATTTCACTACTGTGAAAAAACTTGTAAAATTCAGTCAAAATTTGAAAATTCATTCTGGGATGTTGCCGTTTAGTCTGGTTATGTGTATTTAGGCAAGGTATACATATAAAAGAAGAGAAAAATATATTCTTGGAAATCGTCAGTTTATGGGACTTTAGCCAATTTGGTCCAATTTCACTACTGTGAAAAAACTTCAAAATTTAGTCCAAATTTAAAAATTCATTCTGGGATGTTGCCATTAAGTCTGGTTATGTGTATTTAGGCAAGGTATACATATAAAAGAAGAGAAAATTATATTCTTGGAAATCATCAGTTTATGGGACTTTAGCCAATTTGGTCCAATTTCAGTACTGTGAAAAAACCTGTAAAATTCAGTCCAAATTTAAAAATTCATTCTGGGATGTTGCCATTTAGTCTGGTTATGTGTATTTAGGCAAGGTATACATATAAAAGAAGAGAAAATTATATTCTTGGAAATCATCAGTTTATGGGACTTTAGCCAATTTCGTCCAATTTCAGTACTGTGAAAAAGTCTTCAAAATTTAGTCCAAATTTAAAAATTCATTCTGGGATGTTGCCATTAAGTCTGGTTATGTGTATTTAGGCAAGGTATACATATAAAAGAAGAGAAAATTATATTCTTGGAAATCATCAGTTTATGGGACTTTAGCCAATTTGGTCCAATTTCAGTACTGTGAAAAAACCTGTAAAATTCAGTCCAAATTTGAAAATGCAATCTGGGATGTTGCCATTAACTGGTTATGTGTATTTAGGCAAGGTATACATATAAAAGAAGAGAAAATTATATTCTTGGAAATCATCTGTTTATGGAACTTTAGCCAATTTGGTCCAATTTCACTACTGTGAAAAAGTCTTCAAAATTTAGTCCAAATTTAAAAATTCATTCTGGGATGTTGCCATTAAGTCTGGTTATGTGTATTTAGGCAAGGTATAAATATAAAAGAAGAGAAAAATATATTCTTGGAAATCATCTGTTTATGGGACTTTAGCCAATTTGGTCCAATTTCACTACTGTGAAAAAACTTGTAAAATTCAGTCAAAATTTGAAAATTCATTCTGGGATGTTGCCGTTTAGTCTGGTTATGTGTATTTAGGCAAGGTATACATATACAAGAAGAGAAAAATATATTCTTGGAAATCATCAGTTTATAGGACTTTAGCCAATTTGGTCCAATTTCACTACTGTGAAAAAACCTGTAAAATTCAGTCCAAATTTGAAAATGCAATCTGGGATGTTGCCATTAAGTCTGGTTATGTGTATTTAGGCAAGGTATACATATAAAAGAAGAGAAAAATATATTCTTGGAAATCATCTGTTTATGGGACTTTAGCCAATTTGGTCCAATTTCAATACTGTGAAAAAATCTGTAAAATTCAGTCAAAATGTGAAATTTCATTTTATGATGGAGGAGTTGAATTTTTCAATGTATTTTAAGGGAAGAAACAAATAGAAAAAAGAATAAAAATATAATATCCTTTGAAATCACCTCATTATTGGACTTTAGCCAATTTGGTCCAGTTTCAGTAATTTGGAAAGAAAAAAATCTTAACTCGGTCAAAATTTGAAACTTTATCTGTGATGTTGACTTAAGTTGATTATGTGTATTTCAGCATAGAACATACGAAAAAGTAAAATCCTTTGAGATCATCAATTTTAGTATTTAAGCCAATGTGTTCCATATTTCAATTGGAGGTGGAGGGGAATGGGTTGGTTAGCTGTGGTTGGTGAGCCTGCCTTCAGCCGCTTGTTTCATCAGGGCGCTCACTGAAGATCCAGAGTTTGATTCCCATCAGCAGCAGTGGTGAAATTAGGATGCAATGCTACATTGCGAATGCATGCTGCATAACACCCTCTGTCAGCCAGATACCGGCATTGTCCTCCAGGTCTTACTACATCACTTAAATACCATGGTGGTGTTGGTTCTCCTACATTAAATCTGGACGTCGTGAGATCAGTGAAATATTCTGGAAAGCCACATTCAAACCCAACTCACTCACTCCCTCACTTTATTTTCAATAATTTGGAAAAATCTTATGAAATAATATCCTTTGAAATAATCAAATCAGGTAATTTTGAGAAGTCACAGAAAGTGAGTTAAAATTTGAAACTTCTTGCACATGTGCTCTTTAACCCATCAGGCAATAAACCTACATGTATTCATGCCACACTGCTTTGCATATATGTATGTGGACATCCAACCTGATGTGTGAGACTTACAATAGATTATCTTTCTATGTCATTTAAGAAACAAAGACAATTTCAATTATAACTTTTATTACTTCACAAGAAATATCAACAGAAGAGTCCTTCACATACCAGTAAGCACTCATTACAATCCTTACTCAATCCTCACTTTCATTCATACACTAACTCTGTAACAAAAAATCTGACTTAAAATATACATTGAAGAAGAGTTCTATTTCGCCTAATGAAACCATCAATACATTTCATGTACATAATACATGCTCAAACAAAAGTAGATGAGGTACAAATTCTTCCACGTGATTGTGTTTATAATTCACATTTAATTGTGGCAGAACATGTTACAAAAAGGGTAGTTGGAGACCCATGCAGAAAACTAAATGTGGAAATGTTTTTGGCCTTTGTTAAATACAGAAGACAAATACATGAACAAACATTCACAACCATTCATTCACTCACACATGAACACTATTGTTGCATCATAAAGAATTCATTGATCTTTAAATATTGTGTATTACTATTGTATTCTCAAACAATTCTACCTTATTTTTATTCGTATAATATAATTAAAATAACAGAAAAATATTATCTGTTTTGACCCAGTAGAAGAAAATGATACCAAGTGAATAAATTCATGACAACTCTGTAAAATAGATCACAAGCAAACAATCTAATCATTAACTAACTTCAAAGGACATACATGTAACAAAGTCAACTTTACACAGAATAAACCCATATAGTATAAATATGTTCAGGCCAATGTGATGTCCAATATCAGTTAATGGCAATGTACATTGAAGCCCCTGTAGTCAAGAAAATACCTCTACGTGACAATCATGTTTTGGTAAATTGATTCATTAAAACCAGATACAATGTTTTCAAGTTCTATAGACTTTGATATGGACACCAACCTGCAAAAACATGTTACAATCTGAGCGCAAGAACTATATATGCAAGATTTGATGTTGAACTTCCAGTGTGTTTGTTTTACTAACATTTACTAACTTTTTTAAGAACAGGTTTACTCAATTGTAAGTATTAATCAATGATTACATCAGCCAAATTTATTGGTAATAACCAGAAAATGGTTACTGCTATGCTTTTCAAATGAACAAGCTGATGATCATATGATGATCAAATGACACCTTTTAGGAAATTTACATCTAAATATATTTTAGCAAACTTTATTTTGACATTCAATGTAGACTGCTAATGTTATTAAACAAACACTGATAACAAGAGTCATGAGAATATGACAAATCCCCCTGCAGCCTCACAATATATCACCAATCTCATAAATAAGAATAAAAAATAAAAAGTTATAAAAAATTGTCTATATTCAAACATATCCAAAGTCACATCAACAATATCTGACTGATCATTTTCCAATTTGTTTTGAAGATATCATTAATATTCTTTCTTCTTTTAAAGAAATTCAACTCAACTGAATGTAACTCCAACTTTATTCCAGAAAAAGTAACAACTTGAAACTTTAAAACATTGTTCAGTAGCAAAAGACAATTGTCCACTATCTGATTAATCATTCTGCATGTTTAACGAAAACATGTCTCATAATTCTTAAATTTTAATCTTGAACAACACCCCACTCCATCTAAACCCAAGTTTACTGCTTTAATGATACACATGCCTTTTCTTTATGATCAGGTTAGTTACAAGGAGAACCGTTAAGATCTGTTTCTATAGTATACACCTATTCTTTTTTCGATTATTGATTCACCAAAACATGCTACATCAAATAGTTTGGAAATTCATAAACATGGATAAGTTTAACACACACAATGATCTGCACTAACAGGGTTTTACTATATTCAACTGAAATATACATCAATGGGAGGAGACTGAGGCATGTTCTATACACATATGCATGATATGTGAATGATTTGTTTGTTTGTTGTTTAAAGCCACACTCAGCAATATTCCAGCTATATGATGGCGGTCTGTAAAATAATCAAGTCTGGACCAGACAATCCAGTGATTGACATCATGAGCATCGATCTACGCATTGGGGATCAATGACATGTATCAACCAAGTCAGCGAGCCTGACCACCCGATCCTGTTAGTCGCCTTTTACGACAAGCATAGTCGCCTTTTACGGCAAGTATGGGTTGCTGAAGACTTATTCTACCCTGGAATCTTCACGGGTCCATATGTGAATGAAAGAAAGGTACAGAGAACAAACAAACCACATCAAGGCATCAATGAGTTGGCTGCATTCATTAAAACAGTAACCCTTTCAAAGAAGCATCATAATTATGCAATTAAAGCTCTTTTGAATGCAATTCTGTCCTTTGACACTCTGGGTTGATTGAAGAGTAGGTTCTCCCTGTCAGTTTCTCAGCAAGGAATATGATTACTTCCTTAATGGCCACATACAGAATGCAGTGCCATGCAGCCCTGTAATAAATTAGAGCATATTTATAACCAGACTCAATTTTAAGAATAAAATAAATATCTCCAGTTCCAGTTTCATAAATGTAAGTTGTAACTGGAATAATTGGAAATAATTTACTTGCCAAAAATTCAAAGAATGAGTTTTTTACAATTACAATGAATATATTTATTTTCAGTAGCTTCACTAGTTACATTGTAAGTGATTATTACTTTACAAGACTATTATCTCATTCTTTGGTGTCTCCATTTTCACAATACTAAATGTTTTTTCCAATGTGGGATATATTCTAACAAAATATGACTGAATTTCTGTTCCTTTTCACCAAATTGGTTCTTTTCTGTTTAGCATTCATTCCAGTGAGTGTTTAATAATAATGTATCTAACAACATTGTACCTATAACTATGTACCAGAAATCAAGCGAACAAACCTGTACACATAATACATACTATTATATTTCTGGAACATGTCTGCTTCAGATAATACAACCTAAAATTGTCAATAATGAAATGTAACAGACATGTTTGTTTTCCTAACTGAAGGAGACAAACACGTATAGAGGATATTTGACTTTTCCTGTCGAATACAGTGTTTATCTCGTCGAGTGAAGTTGACTAGTTTGTATTTTCATGAGTGGCGTAGCCGCAAGTGTAAAAATTAAACTTTTCAACTTCACGAGATGACATAAACACGGTATTCGACAGGAAAAGTCAAATGTTCTATTTATTCTATTCTTCCTTATTGCTGAATTTTATGAAAACCGGACCGATGACTCGCAAATTCAGTACATTCACTGTGTCAGTCGTCTTGTTGCCTGGTGATACACATTAAGTCATCACATTGTTTACTTTTTGATTTTGATATCTAACTCAGCGTAGATGCAGGTTTTATTTTAACCGATAAATGCAGTATTTCACCGATAGAAATAGAATAATAAATTGTATTTTCTGTGCTTACTGTGTGTACTCCATTGGAAGTTCCCTGAGATTCGCATCAACATCCGGCACAGTAAAGATCTGAGTCACTGACTTAGTGTAAGGGCGATTGAAAGGAATCAAAGGTGGTCAGTGACATTAATGTGAAATTTAGACCATGAGCAATTTTCAATGTATCAATTTCATCTGTATGTCTAATCAAATGATAAGCTTCTTCTGTGAATATGCTTTAGATGTAAACTCTTCCTAATCACATTTAACTACTGCTCTGTTCTCATTCAATTTGGTAAACACGGGTAAATATATGCTCAAAACAACATGCATAAAACTGTGAATTTACACTGATTTTAAATTTGTGCCATTGGGAACTTTAGAAAAGAATCTACACTATTCACCATTATTCTTACCGTTTATCTCTCACTAGACGGCGTGTCAAGGACTGCCCCAGCCACTGAAGAATGTGCCCATACATCTGAAATTTGTTTTGCCAAGTATAAAGTACAATTCACTGAGCAACTGATATCATCAACTATTTGCCATTTTTTCCCCCAAACATTTTACTTTAATCTTCATGAACACTTATATTTTACCTATATGCAGAAAAGTGTATGTCAGAAACAAAAGAACATGTACATTGTGTTTATTGCATAAGATGATAATTACTATCACAACATAAGAATTGTTACAGTCATGGGATTGAAACTTTTTCAACAATGAAATTTTGGAAATTTTCTCTACTAAATTGTGGACTGAGGACTTAATTGTGAACATTATCATTCTCATACTTTAATGAAATTTAGCTGTACATATGAATTCATTTTCTTACTTCAGCAGACACAAAATCTGACCCAAATCCAGCCTTGACTTCATGGTAGGGATACTTGGTAACAAACCAGTTGTGTCTCTCACCACGTCCTTGTCCCCACTGTAAAGACAAAAGTGCCTCAAGAATGCCACATTCATTTTATATTGACTGTTGTGTGATGTTGGTGTATATGTGACTGTTAACTTTCAATGTGATATACAGGAATATCAACAACAGTGTTATATGAAAGGAAAGGATACATACATTGAATTGGTTTATTTTGGCTAGATGTGATGTGCATGTTTCGGACTTCAGATCATTCTCCATGGCCATGTACTTAATAGAGTATATTACCTGAACTTACCCTGTAAAAGGCTCTTAATGTAACTACAAACTTCTGGTTTCCGTGAAGAAAGTCAAACAGTCAATTCATTAGACAGTTTCCGCTTTAACAGTTTCAATTTCAACAAGCATATAGTCGACGAAGTCATCTATATTCCCTGCCAACCTTAACATGTAATGGTCCGAAACCAGGTAAACTAACCCAACATTTCTTTAAGCCCAAGTTCAAAGAGCTGCCATGAAAACCTTAAAATAAAACGTTCTAAAATTGTTGAATAGCAAAAGGCACCAGTTCAGCATGTGTTTGATTCAAAATACTAAATGGTTTAGCAGTTATTTTCTGGAAATGAACCCTACCCTCATAGAACCTAAGTCCAACTTGTTGCCATAAAAATCTTTAAAAAATAAAACATTCAAAAATTTCTAAATATTAAAAGGCACCATTTCAGAATGTGCCTGGTAGACATGCTAAGTTTTTGTTAGAAAGTATTGAACGTTTTTTCAGTTACACTCCGCGAACCAACCCCACCCTCATATTAATGCTAAGTCCAACTTGTTGCCATGGAAACTAAAAAAAATCAAAATTTATAAAGTCCTAAAACTAAAACAACAACTATTCCCTCAGCCTGTCCATGATAGCAAAGACAAGGTACTGCAGGGTAGGAAACAGGGGGATCTGAGTTGAACTCATTAAGAAAGTCTAGCTGGCAGCTGAGTGTAGTTGGGAATTCTGGATAGTGTTATGACAAATCAAACATAATTAATGTCAGAGATATGTATAATTAAGTTTAAGCATAAGATGTAGTCTGGCTGCAGAAACCATAACTCTGTGATGTTGCACCCTATAATTACTACCCCAATATGTGCAGCTGGTATACAGATTCCGCAGCTAGATGTTCTACGGTTTCCGCAGCTAGTTGTACTATGGTTTCCACAGCTAGATGTACTATGGTTTCCGTAGCTAGATGTACTACGGTTTCCGCAGCTAGATGTACTATGTTTTTTGCAGCTAGATTTACTATGTTTTTTTGCAGCTAGATGTACTATGGTTTCCCCAGCTAGATGTACTATGGTTTCTGCTGATACATGTGTATTAATCATGGTAATATCTCACCTTGTTTTCAAAGAAATCAGCTGTGACTCGAAGGGAACCTGAATAGTAAATTAAAGTAATTTTAGTATTAACATGATTAATCCGTATTGAAGTGACAATCAGTGGTGAAAGTGGGAGTGTGGACGCTCCCAAAGTAGAATTTCTTTTAATCATTCCCACACCAACACTGAGTTTGGAACCATGATAAAAACCATTGAAACAGAGAGAAAAATGGTTGAACTTTGATATAAGAGAATGCTTGGTTACTTGAAAATTGTCTTTGAAGCTGGCCAATTTTGGCCTTTAGGCTAATTTTGTACCACATTTTCTCCTCAAAAGACTAATCTAGTCACATAATTGGCATAATTTTATGTTTACAATGCAACCAGATGACATTTGCTTGGTTGTCCATCATGTTTCTGTAAATACCTGCAGAAATCACAAAGATTGGGCTTTACAGGCAAAGATTTGAACTGGGAGTGTGGACCAGGAGGCTGCCAATTTGGGGAGCCTCCACAATCCGATCTCTGACTGTTAACAATGAAGAAATAATTCATGGATTTTTAAGATATTTGGTTACAAATGATACATCATATAACTACAATAACAACATGAGTACAATAGACAAAGAAGGGAGATTGAACACTTATTTCAAATTTAGTGAAAAGCAAACATTGCAAATTCATACTACAAACTTAATAAACAAATATTTTAAAATTTTATCACTACTTATCATGTAATTTAAATTGTTAAAATAACTTGCTAGATGTAAAACATTTAGACACCAATCATGGAATACCAAAATTTACTGTCTAATTCTACAGCATCCATTTTTTGTAATACTTGTTTGGTTTGGTCATGTTTTCTGTACACAACATTTCCATTGACACTGTTTAAAATCTAAAGAATTCTTTTAAACATTACATTTATTTAAAAAAATTAACCAGCAGCAACAATACCTCAAATACATCTCAGCGCATGTGTTCTTCTTCAAACCAAAGAAATAAGATAAATATCAACAAGATCAAGTCTCATATTTTGGAAATATGAACATTTTCATTGAGTTAGCACAACAGTAACTGCCAGAAATCTGTATATGCTTCATGTTTCAGTTTCATCCTTGACAGAAAAGGAATATTAAGGTACTTTACTTGAATATTTATCTTATATAATAAACAAAATAGAGTTAATTGACACAGGGTGCGAAATTAACCTGTTGTTTTTGTTTTCACATATTACCCCCTGATTTCATCTTAAATGCACCCAGTTGACTCCCTCCTCCTCCCACCCAGTCTTTATGATTTACTATGATGAAATGAAACCAAATACTTTTCATCCCCCTAAGCTGACTTAGGTATGGTATGCAACACTTAGGTACTGTACGGTAAACTTGGGTGACTTCCTGCATTGTCGGGGTACAGTCCGGTATACAGGGCCTTACTCGGGCTAATCTCCTATGGTACCCATCCTTACAACGACCCTTTCCACATAACTTATCCCATTCATGCTCAGCCAACAAACATTCCTCTGACTTGTACTCCTTTCACATTAGGTGATTTAACCGTCTCTAGACCGTTTCTAAAGTAACTTTGTGACAGTTAGCGCTTGTCTCGCTTGTCTCATAAGTTACCACCTCTCAAGGTGGTTCAGAGATGGTTTACCTTTGGAGTCGGCGCTGGTCTGCCTAAATATTGTGACAGTAATTTCCTGACACTGACATTTCCGTTATCATCTAATTGGGCAAAAGATGTTGGTCTTTCATGCTATTGATCACTTTTGAAAACCAATAATATAAAGGAAAGTTGACAAGAAGTTCAAAAGTGTTTTGGAATTTAGATCTTGAATTTGGCCTACACCAAATACAGACAAATGTTGACAGCAAGGGAAAGAAGCAAAAAAGAGCATTTTTCATCTTGACTCATTTGTAATGTCCAATAACTTTCTCACCCAAGATAGTTTTAGAGAATTGACTGGTGTAAAGAAATCAATAATACCAAAGCTTCTCCTTTTACATTAGCTCTTTAATCTTATCGGACTTTCCATTCTAAAGAAACTTAAATAACATTTTATTTAACTCCTTAATAAAATTCCCATAATGATTTGGCAGTAATAAACAATACCAGTAAATTCAATTTGAAAATAAGTAAGGCCTTAATAATGGCAATTGAAATAAGAGAGGTTATAGTTCTGTTCATTTCAAGTCTGTTGAAAATATAACACTAGGCAGCCTGAAATCTTCTGGGTTTCATTCAATTATTTTATTAGGCAAATACCAAACTGAGTTATTCTTCTTTGGGCCTATCAATATTACTTGGGACTTATGAAATACCCACTGTAGCTTCAACAGATTTTTCTCACCTGTCAAAAGGAACTCTGTATTATCATCATATTGTGTTAAATATTTTTCATCTTTTAACTAAAATATCCTTGACATTAACATATTGTTCTTAACAAGCCCAGCCAGAGCGTAGGAAGATAAAGGGAGAAATATCCTGACCTTGTCTACAATGCAGTGAAATATCATTTTTCTCGTCACTGCACTGAATTCAATTGTGTGATATCACTGCTATACAGCAAGTACAATGGCATGATGACACCGAAACAATCACATGACATCACTTGAACAATTTCGTGATGTCACTGACAATGATAAGACGTCGCAACAAGATGCGATGTTGGGAAAATTTGTACTGTGATCAGCACATTTGAATGTGTAATTTTCATAAAAATAGCATATAATATAAAGGACATTGTGAAACTTGAAATATCCTCTATTATTGTCAGAATCATAAGAAGAAGCTGTACACCAATTCTGAAGGCAATGACTGGTTAATGACAAAGTAATTTGAAAAAAAACTATTTTTTCTTCTACTAGCATAGCTAAAAGCTGGTGTCATAGCAGCCATACTGAATTTTGTTTTAAGGCATACTATATTTTTAAAGAGGAAAGCCCACATCCTTTTAGAAAAGATATAATAAATACAATGCCTGATAAACCAAGATGATTTCCAGAACAAAAAGAGCTTGACATGACCATTAACAAATTTTAAACTGGTAGACATCATTAATGACCAAGAATCTAGCCAAACTGCAAATCTTTTTCAAACAACCATGAGCGTTGCCTTCCCATTATGCCTACTGGTTAAACAAACACACCATACAGTTGAGTAAATGCTAGTTACTACCGGTCACCCCTCCTGACTAAGTTAGTTAACCTGTCTAAAGGTAGACAGATTAGGAATAGAATCATTGACAAATGTAGGTTCTCGCTTGTACATGTATAAACATGCATAAAGAAATGCAAGAATACATGTCATGCAGGAGTACAATCAATATATTTCTATGTAGCTTCAAATGAATGTACATGTATGTAATTTCCATACACCATTTTAATGATGCCATTATGTTTTTTATGAATCATTTGCCTATGACCGGATGTTGTATTTTTAGTAACCCATTATGTATAGTTTGTTTGTTTGTGCCACAATAACAAAATAAGTTTCTTTTTCTTCTGATAATTTTTATGCTCATCATCATAAATGGTTTGTTTTCAGCTTTACAACATATTTTACTGATGGTATTATCATAATTATTTTTTTTTATGCTGAGAGAACATAATTACAAATGTACTAAGTTGTGTGCATTTTACCTACATATCTTGTTTTTATACATTTTCATAATGTGTGTGTTACCTTCAAAATGTTCACAACACTACATAAAGTGTAATCATGAAGACACGACCTTGGTTCATGATCTTATCAGTAGGAGACCATTTCTCTATAAATTGTCATTGTGTCAGTGAAGTGAATGTTTAACATTTTATTTTCACAATATTCCATGTAAGTGGTCTTATTCTACTTTCTAGACCAGTTCATTTTCACATGGGTAAGCTAAGTTTATTACATATTTGTCAGTAGGCATAATGGCAGTGAAACCCATCAACATCCTGCTATGACCAAC